CATCTCCATCAATTTATCACTTCTTTTTCCCTACTTGTAAAATTATATTAGACAAGGACAATTTGAAACTGTTCGGTTACTGAGGTTGCTCCCATAATGATGGCAGTCACCATCCCCAAAGATTTTTTTCCTTCAAATTTGTGTAGGGCCTGTTATACAGGTAAGTCAAACTTAGAGCAGTGTAAACTACTTGCTGCCAGCCAAGGATACGCTGACTTTGCATGCATGCAGTGATGATAGAAGCAACTGTATGCTTAAAGGTGCAATAAGATGTTTCTTCTATCAATATATTCCATTATAATAGATAGAAAATGTGCTGTAGCTTAAACTACTGTGTATACCTTTTGTGTGTGTGTGTTTATATATATATGTTTATGTGTTATTGTCATATATAAGGTACTGTGTAGCTGGTGGATCATCAAGGCTTTTTAGATATGATGGAATTATTGCAGTAGTGGAGAAAGAAGAGTCTTCCATTCAATTCATTGCTATTAGTTGGGTTCACCCAAAAGTAAAGGGTGATAAATTTCAAAAACATCCTTTAGGGTGGGGCAAATCATTTTAAGTACAAGCAGTTTTTTTAGATATATGAAAATGCTTTTGTTTCTTTTTTTCTCTGTCAGTAACTTTCGGGTAGATGAGAAGTTTCCTCCAGTTTAATGCCAAGACAGCTATTTCAGTCTAGCTTCGTGATGAAGAATAGGGGAAACCTGTGTGATTCCGTAAGTTATTTGGGAGAGAATACTTCAGCATTCTTTGTCAGTCATCTATTTCTAGCGCATGGCACATTTGCCAGTTGTGTTAACACTGAGTGCTGTGCTAAGACTACAAAGATATTTTAAGGAGGGAGAGGATACCCCTTCTGATTGAGACACCCTTGGCTGCAAGATGTGAGGGAGATCTAGATCTTACCTAGAGAAATAGGATTTGGGCCCAGTTAAGTTTATCAATAACTTAAGTGAAACTTTAACAAGCTGCTAGCTCTGTTTATGACCTGTACATATGGTTGCCACAGTTTTAATATGCTCTTGTGATTGATTGGCCATTTGTAGAGGCTGGAATAATAATGGAGAAAGGGTATTGTTTGTGAACTAGCTCCAGAAGAGAAACACTTTTCGGGCTAAAATTCCAGTAGCCCAACCGAGGTCGTTAAGATGACTTAAAGATAAACTATACCTTGGTACAAAGATGGTTTTCAAAATACAAAATTCAAATCTAAGCCTCTTTTCTTTTAATAGTCAGTTTTCTATTCTCCGTACACTAAATACATTTTCCAAATGCTTAAAGTTTGTTTTTGGGCTCTGTCTGCTGCTTTTATAGCAGAGGAGCCCAAGTAGTCTTGAGTAGTTAGAGAACTTCTGTCCTAAGAGGTTCCTTGTATAGACTGTACATAGACTCTTGCTTCTGAGTGTTGGGTGTCAGAATGTGTACAGAGATAGAAGATGCATGAAATAGGTACAGGAAAAGGAAATCACATACCTATTCAAGTACTGTCATGTATTAATATGTATATCTCCAAATTATAGATGATTTTGTAAGGCCAAATATCCCATCTTGAATATAAACATCTAAGCTTGACCCACTTGGAGGTTACCTTGACAAGGCCCTAAAATATAAGACTGCTCTTTACACTTGTGATGATGGACTATGTTTTCCACCTCCTAAAATCTCAGTTTCTGAGGTTTTCTTAGGTTCTTACTGCAGTATTCATGGAGAAATGAGTCCAGTCTGTAGATAGCTGGGGGAAAATGTTTTTTATTCCTCCAGCTTTGCCTGTGTAGACTCTTACAATGAAAGCATGTAAGGAAAATCTGTTCTTTGCTTGTGTTGCCTTTTTATGAGGAACTTGAGTAACTTTTCTATTTCCAGACATGTTAGAGGCTTCAGAAAACAGCCAAAAAGCTTCCCAAGTGATATAACATAGGCAAGCGAAATCAAATAGCTCCTCAAGGAACTTAGGGACTGTGGTGCACTATCTTATATTAAATTTATCCCAGTGTCATGACCTGGCATGCAGTGACTAAGAATTCAGAGAGAGTTTTCTGAAACAGGAACATAACAACATTATTCTGTATTTTGGAGGACTTATCAAGTGTGTGAGAGAATCAGTCTGAAAACTCTTTTTATCATTTGAGTAGTGCAATGGAGAGTAATCTCTGTGCTCCTGAACAGATACTGTAAACCAAGGAAAAGGAAAGCTAGCTTGCTGGGACACTTCAAGGTGTCAGGGCCAGACTTGTACTGCATTGCATATTATTTCAGTTTACGGGTATGGCTCTGTGCTAAGCAGTGATTTCGTTTAGCTTTGCCACACTTTCCACACAACCCCAAGACACAGTCTTTTTTTGCTTTGTTTTGTGCCTTTTATTTCCCAGCTAGGATTCCTGTGGATTGTCCTAGATTGAATTGTGAAATTTTCCATTTAACTCATTAACCTGCTTCATCAAAGTTTTAAAAAAAAAAAAAAAAGTGATGGAGAAGAGAAAGGACTCTTAAAATAGGCTTAGCATGTGTAGTATTAGCTCACCAAGGAAGCACTCATGGATGACGCAGCCAGAAACTGGAGGCAGAGGGGGCAACACGGCATGGTAGTGACTAGCCTAGTTACTTTTGACACCCGTCTCTTGAGCTTTCACTTCTCTGCCTGCATCCCAGAGCTGCCTCTTTCCTTTGCCTTTCTGAAGCTACGTGCGTGTGAGCCCTCCTTTGCGTGCCACTGGAAGTGGCTTGTAGGTCAGCAGCGGCAGAGCAGTGCGGATCACCCTTGGGACCTCCCGGCAGCCTTTCGTGAGCTGGATATCCTCGGGGTGTTCTGGGTGACAGGCTGTGCTCCGAGGCGTTTGCTTGGGCTGCTGCCAGTGGTTCCTCCAGTGGTTCTGAACCAAACTGCACTTTTTGTTTAGGCAGCACAGGAATGCACTGAGCGGGGGAAAATAAGAATTTCTGCACAAACTTTGCCCCTCCTCGGGTTTGACTCTTGTCCCTCTGCTATAAATGCCTGCCTGTCTGCTGCTTGCCCTCCCAAGCATCTTCCGCTCCGTGCTGCTCTTTAGAAGTGAGTGGTTTCCAGTGGGAGTGTGTTTGGTGTGTGCTTTGTGGTTGCGTCTTTTGAGCAGCCTGTCCGTTTCCCAGCTCTCTCCATGTGTCCTGGGCAGATGGTGCCTGCTCTGCCCTGCCTGCTGCACGCCCGGAGTCTGCTCGTGGTGCTTCAGCTTGCACGAAGCTCAACTGACTCCGGGCGCGCTGGAGTGCAGGGAACCAGGATCTATAAACTGAGCGCAGACTCTCCAGAGAATTGCACCCCACAGCATTTTCTCCCCTTCTTTCCTAGCAGATTATAGAGTAAAATGGAATATAAAGATATATATGCTTATGACATAAGCCTGGTTTAAAAAAAAAAAAAAAAAAAGAAAAAAGAAACTCCTACAGTGAATTTAATCTGTTTTGTCTTATGATTCAAAAGATGAGTATTGTCAGCTTTCTAAAGTCACTTGTCTACCAAAATAAGGAAGTGACTTTCTGGAAAAGACTATAACAAGAATTGCTGGTTGTGATGCTTTTATTTTGAAAATTGTTCATTGGCTTTTTTTATCAGATTAAATTGGATTGTTTAACAATGTGGTGAGAGTTGAGGGGGAAAGCAAAGGAAGCAAAATACCTAAAAGGGGTGAAAGGATATATATATATATGTGTGTGTGTGTGTGTGTGTATATATACACACACATATATATATATCAGGAAAAATTATATATTTTTATATATATAAATATATATTATATGCATTTATTACATATATATAATATATATGTATATATTTTTCTGAATTTAGCAAAGATATGAAATATCAAATACAAAGAATAGATCTAATTCAGGCAAGATCAGTGCAAGTCTTGACAAAACAGTGCATTATCCTATTGCTGAATAATTTTAATTCATGTCTTCAAATTATAATAATGGTGAACATAGGATTTGGCAGATTTAGTACATTAATTCTTCACTTCCTTGTTGATAAAAAGGTAGCATGTTCTGAACAGGTTATAATGACTCTTCCTTCACTTTAAAAGTGAGCAGAGGAATGAAATTTTAGGTGAGGAAAGCCTAAAATGAGGTCAGAGACTTTGACTTTGATTTGTGCCTTTGACCCTTACTGATTGGCTGTAACATGATGCAAACATTCAACAACAATCAAAAACAAAAGAAAAAAGGCTAGATGGCTTCAGTTGTTAAACTTAGTTTAACCTAAGTGTAGGTCGATTGCTGGAGATTTCTTCACTTTTGTCAAAAGAATTATAGTTTCCCAGAAGAGTCCCAGTGGCCCGTGCTCAGCACTTCCAAATTTCTTCTGTACTCCCCACATGGCGCCTCCTCTTCGCTTGAGGTGGAGATGCCTCAGCTTGGTGTGGTTTTGAAATGTAAAACCTCTTGGACTGTGTTTTATGAAATGCATAAATCAATAAGCAGCATAGAAAATAACGATGTGGGATTCAAAAGCAAACATTCATGACAATTCATTCAAGGCCAAATTTTACCAAATTCCGTGGCCATGACTTTTTCTTAATGCAGTAGCAATCGCAGTGGACAATTATAGACTTAGTCTAAAAGGAAAGAAGTCCTTAGAAAATGGTTTGTGGAGAGACCAGAGAGTGTGGGTGGTTTTGGTGTGAGGGCATTATTTTTTAATTTTCCCTTCCACCTATGGTCAAGCCTGAAAAATTCTGAGGAAGGATGAGCGTCAATGAGAGACAGTAGAAGAAATGTCCAGGCAGAAGGGGAAAACGAGGCAGGCTGTGACCTGCGTGATGGGTGGTTGCTCTGCGTGGTCTGGAAGAGGCGCGCACACGTTGTGCGAGTTCCCCTGTTAGGGCTTTCCTGCTGCACCTCGGTCACTGGGCGGGCAGCCTTGTCGTTCCAGGCAATGAGAACTTTCTTTGGAGAACTGGCGCAGGCACCGATGCCTTCGTCGCTGCATGTAAGTATAATTCATGCTGTCTGTTTCACAGGTGGTTTTGCTGAGTTCTCCAGTTCTTTCCCTGGTCTCTGTGAAGGAAAATCTACACTCGTCCCTACCTGCATTTCTCAGCCATGCCTACCTGTCTCCAACATTGGACCAACCCGCATCCTGCCTCATCTCTACCTTGGGTGTCAGCGAGATGTCCTCAACAAGGTGAGTGTTCTGGGTGCCATGTTGTTTGCATGGGTGACTACATGATCTCCATGTGTCTTTATGTCAAGGCATCTATCACATTGGCTCATTACAACTGCAAAACATTTAAAGTAGATAGAGATGACAGGTTTTCATAGCTTATGCACAGCCAGCTCTGTTGGAACTAATGTCCATATAATATCCCAATAAGTAGTATCTGTGCCATGTAATCTGAAACTTGGTCTACTCTCACCTTGATCTTGGGGAAGGTACCTTCCTGAGTAACCTGCTAATGGAAACAAACTAGTAAATCCTTCATTACAGAAGATTGGGGTGGTTTCCTTGAATATTCAGGAATACAGGAATATAGGGAACTATATAGTTTGGACTGGTTTGTTTTGGCAAGTGTTAGAAGTTAACACAATTATGTAACCTGTAGGTTAATGTTAAATAAAAGGAAGTTTGTTTGAAATAATTTTTTTCTTAAAAAAAATGGAAAAAGATACCCTAAATATCATGATGAGGGACTATGACAAGCAAATATTTGTTCATTTAATATTCAGATTTGGATAATCATTTGGGTATCATTTAAAATGAGCCTTTTGGGTATCACTGTACTCAAAAAAAACCCAAAACATTAAAAACAGAAAAACACTTTCTTCTAAATACTTGTGCATGTAATAATTTCTGTTCCCAATATGTGGTGTATGTAAAACAGAGAACAAAGCCTTTAAGTATAGCACTTGCAAGGTGCTGGACTCTCAGTTGTCTAAAAGAGTCAGTCTCAAATTATTTTATGTCTGTATTCGCAGAATCACAGACTGGTTGAGGTTGGAAGGGAGCTCTAGAGATCATCTCATCCAACCCCCTGCTCAAGCAGGGACACCTAGAGAATTCCTATGTGATTTGACAGATTTTTGTCTCCATAAGGGGACCAAGTCATATATGGCTGAGAAATCTTCATCTTGGATCACTTCTCAAAGGATTTTTTTTTCCATTTCTACTGCGTATGCCCTCTTGCCTCCCATTATTATTTGGGAGAGGTTAAGCTTCTAACAGCTTTCGTAAACTGATATTTAAATATAGATGAGGACGCCAACCAAGGCCCATCTAGGGGGCAGTCTGCAGAGAGAGCGTCAGCTCCACGCCCGGAGGCTGCTCCCCCGAAGGAAAAAAGGAGCACTCGGAAGAAGCGGCGGGTAATTGTTATAGGTGACTCCCTGCTGCAGGGCACAGAGGCGCCCATCTGCAGACCCGACCCCTTATCCAGGGAGGTCTGCTGCTTACCAGGGGCTCGAATAAGGGACGTTACAAAGAGGCTCCCTCGGTTACTCCGAGGCACTGACTACTATCCCCTGCTTATTTTTCACGTGGGTGCTAATGATGCTATGGGGAAACTTGCCAAAATAAAGCA